CTCCCCAGACATTTCTCCCCCGAGCACAATAGGCTCCGCCTAGAGCTGTTAATGAGATATCTACTACTACTACTGTTGAGGTTATGCTCCTGTGGCTCAATTTTACGATTTTTACACACGCACAATTAAGTTGTAAGTTACTTTTTAAGGCCGAGTAAATGATGCACGTGATTTAAATAACTTGGCTCACTGTCAGCTTTGTTGAAAAGGTGTTGAATGGGTAGACTCCTCCAATCCATGCAGTATGTTAAATACTGTTCTAGGTCACTTATGCAAATAGGTGAACTGGCAGTGTTTTATCACATATCATATTTTTTACTCTATATTATTCTCGTGGAACAGAAAACTTTATTACTTTCTGGTTGGGGTGCAAACCGAGTGGTACTATTTGCACAATCCCCCAAACAATCAATCAATGTGCGTTGCAGATAATTTGCACCTGCCCCTTCGTACTTAATGCTTAGTCCAGTGCCGAAATTAGTTATTTGAAAGACCATGGTCACTTAGAGACGCATGAGGGGAGAGGCATTTAAAAGTGTATTGTATGAGTAAATTATATGTAATTAATCTTTGATGAGCGCTAAAAGTACCGTTTAATATGATTGCAGGAACTCGGCCCAGAAATGTTCTTGACATGAGCAAGAGAAGTCTATGGAGTCATTTTACCCAATCGAATAGGTGAGTTGACATGACAGTAACCGCCAACGCTCTGGTCCAATTTGTCTCTGTACAGACACTATGAGGAGCTTCCTTTCGTGTGCATCAAAGGGTGGTATTTGATGTTTTTTTGTGGTGCCTTGGTTCTTTGATGTCGATTTCAATCCTCCTCTGTCAAAATCCAGGCTGATTTGTTATCACTGAAAATGTCTTTTAAAAATCTTGGCAATTTGTAAAATTGCTGGAATTGGTTTGGATTGGTGGGGCAGACTCCCTTTTCACATACTCTGTCTAAATACCGTCATCTGGGGCTACTTTGGCCCTGCGAGGTGACTTTGGCCCGAACCCAGAATTTTTGTTTCAATCCGGTATCATGGTGCCGACCCACTACAGTAGAGTTCTTAGCCAGTGCGCCTCACGTGGCCTACCCGCCCTTAGTTAGAGACACCAGCTCTTATAAAACTCAAGTTTCTGTGGACAGGGGTGGTTTCTGACAGAAACAAAGGTAGTTTTGTAGTGCCTGGTTCATTCCTGTCGAAACTCCTCCATCGAAATCCGGACCGCTCAATTTATAGCCTTTGTAAATTTTGCCAAAAATGAAAAAAAAATGAAAATCGCTGGAAATGGTCGAAATGTCGAAATTTCGCGCCGCCGGTCCATTTTAAGTGAGTTGCGCCTGTTTTTCTTGGACCGGTTCGCCTGCGAGGTAGGCAGCCCATCGTACGCTACCCGCCAGATTCAAAAGACCTCCTCTTAAAACTCAAGTGTGTCTGGACAGGGGTGGTTTCTGGCGGAAACGAAAGTAGTTTTGTGGTTCCCTGGTTCACCCCTGTCGGTTCGACTACTTTTCCGTCAAAATCCGGACCCATCAATTTTCGCTAAAAATAGGAAGGCTATAGCCTTTGTTAATTTTGCCAAAAATGAGAAATTTGAAAATCGCTGGAAATGGTTAGGATTGGTTTGCCAGCACCCTCTTACCAACTCTCCGTCAAAATTTCACGACGCAGACCCATTTTAAGCGAGTTACGCCCGTTTTTCTTGTACCGGCTCGCCTGCTAGGTAGGCAGCCCATTGTACGCTGCCCGCCAGATTCAAAAGACAACCCTGTCTGGACAGGGGTGGTTTCTGGCGGAACCAAAAGTAGTTTTGTGGTTCCCTGGTTCAGCCCTGTCGATTCGACTACTTTTCCGTCAAAATCCGGACCCATCAATTTTCGCTAAAAA